AACAGCTTAATGACTTACTACAGGATATTCGCAAATAGAAATGCAAAATAAAGCTCAAGTAGATCAAACCACCTCAAATACACTATCCAGACTAAGGAATGAATTACGCTCCTTACTAATGTACCAATTTGATAGAAGTACGCAAAGATTAAAGCTACTACTCTAATGGAAACAAAGCAGGGAAATACCTAGCGAATAAAATGAAATCCCTGCATACTAGAACTAAAATATTGTATCTTATCAACCCAAAAGATAAAAGTAAAATCATTAATCCTCAAGAAATAGCAAATTCATTTGCTAGTTACTACGATTCACTTTATAACCTAAATCAAGACAAAACCACTCTCCAACCTTTTATAGAAAACATACAGGCATTTTTATCACAAATTTGCTTACCCACTCTTTCAAAATCACAACTAAGTATCCCTAACTCCCTTATCACAATAAATAAAATAAACAGAACAATAGAAAAACTACCCAATGGCAAAGGTTCGGGACCAGATGTATTTTCCAGCAAATACTATAACATTTCAAAAAATACGCTGAGTCCTCATCTAAACCAACTATACACTGACTCATTTTCTTTTGCCTCATTACTTTCCGAAATGCTACAAGCATTAGTCGTAACAATCCCCAAATCAGGTAAAGATCCAGACAATCCACAAAATTTCCAGCCTATTTCTTTATTAAATACTGATTTTAAGATCTACGCTAAAATTATAGCGTGCAGACTGGCCAATATACTCCCAGATTTGATCAAGCCTGATCAGTTAGGCTTTACTAAAGGTAGACAAACAATTCCCTCATTATTTGCTCTGGACGCCGAAAAGGCTTTTGATAGGATATACTGGACATACATGTTCCAAGTACTGCATGCATTTGGATTTTCGGGAACAATTATTAATGCTAGTTCAGCACTTTACTCAAATCCTTCTGCCCAAGTCTATGTATCTAACATGCTATCCAAACGATTCTTAATTACAAATGGTACCAGACGAGGATGCCCATTGTTGCCACTAATTTTTAACCAATCAATTGAACCTCTTGCTGAAACTATAAGAAACAATCCAGATATACATGGCTTCTGTATAGGTAAAAACCACCACACAATAATGCTCTTTGTGGATGACATCATTTTAATGCTAATGAATCCCTCTATTTCTTTAGCAGCAATTCAACAAACTCTCATACAATTCAGTAATATTTCATATTATAAAATAAATGCATCCAAATCTAATATCCTAAATCTGGGTGTAGATCACATTCTAAAAATGCACCTCCAAAACAAATTTCCCTACATCTGGGAAAATGAAGCCATTCCTTATCTTGCAATATTGTTGACAAACAAAACCTCTGACCTAGGAACTCTCAATTATTCTAAATTCATTTAAAAAATTCAAACCTACCTTAATCAAATGGTTAAACATGAACTATCCTGGTCTGGCAGGCTTGCCCGCATTTAAAATGTTCATATTGCCACAGATTTTATATCTACTTAGATCAATTCCAATCTCTATTAAATCTTCATATCTAACAAAACTATAATCTATGCTTAAAAAATAAGTCTGGGGAAATATGAGACCTCAGTGCTCACATAATATATTAATCAAACACAAAAAAATAGGAGGAATGGGATTTGTTGACATTAGGGACTATCAGAAAGCATCATTATTAGACCAAGTCAAACATTGGTTTATAGTGGAAGATGATGCAAAATGGGGTGACATTGAAAAAACTCTAGCCTCTACTATAGATTTAAGCACCATACTACTAGCGAACTCGTGGCAAAGGATTCCCACTAATAAAACAACACCAACTATATGAGTCTCAGTTGAAGCCTGGAAATCCTTAAGCTCCATGCCTATAGATCCTCTCCGAATAAGTCCTCTTCTTATACCTATAACAGCCTTAGAAGTCGTGACGCCTAGCATAGATATCTCAAATTGGAAACATAGTGGCATACGCACAATACAAGATATTTGTGTTAAAAATTACATTAAAAATTTTGAATTCATTATGAAAGATTTTAACCTCCTCCCTTCTGAAAAATAAACCTATACACACATCAGTCGTTGCCTTTTGAAACATCCAGTGAAAAACAATATATATTCCCAAAGTATCTTTACAGTTCTATAGCTCCGTTACTTCTAAATCAGGTGGTATAACCCTATTTTATAACCTTCTACAATGTAAATCAGAATTTAACAAGACTACTTCCTTAATCAAGTGGGAAAAAGCCTTAGAGAATTAAATCTCTAATGAGCAGTGGGAATGTGCATTCAGGAATATGTTTTCAGCTACTAGATGTGTTAACCTTTGGGAGCTAAAGCACAAAATTTCCACAAGATGGTATCTAACTCCTTGCCAAATGTCCAAATTCCCAGAACATAGTCCTCAATGCTGGAGAAACTGCAGTCAGATTGGTACGTTATTACATATATTATGGACATGTAAAAATATTAGAAGCTATTGGTATAAAGTTTTCCACATGATAGCTGAAATTACTGGGATATTAAAACAACCAGATCCTACCCTAGCCATTTTGAATATAAATATAGACACATATCCAATCCATTATCGACTCTTAGTGACAAATATTCTTCTAGCATCAAGACTTACTATTACTAGACACTAGAAAAAAGACTTAGCCCCTTCTCTAAAAGAAGTAACTGAGCTAGTACAGACCCACTTCATCTATGAGAAATCTTTAGTTTACCTGAATGATATAAATACCAAATTTGACAAAGCTTGGAAACCCTGGTCCGACTGGTTCAGAACTGTAATCTAAGATAATATTATGTTTAACCTTTTGGATACTCTAAAATGATTATTTTGTGGAACTAGTAGGATTATTAGGAATTATTCAATATTTCCTTTTTTCTCTTTGTTAAACTTTAATGCAGCACCTATACTGTGATATTGTGTAGCTTTTCACTGTCCTATTTTTGTTTTTTTGTTGTTGTAACTATATTTGTAAAACCAAATAAAAATAAATTATGGAAAAAAAAAAAGAAATTACATAGGCAGTACATCAACATTGATCCCTTTTCAATAATAAATGAATATTATTATTATTATTATTATTATACAGGATTTATATAGCGCCAACAGTTTGCTCAGTGCTTTACAATATAAATAGCATAGCTTATACATACTGTACCTTTCACACAAACCAACTAATATACATTTATTGGGATTTTTTTTACCAAAGACATGTAGCTGAATACATTCAGACCTAAATTTATGACCAAAATTGATTTTATTTGGATAGTTTTTATAAAAGAAGATAGACTTTTTTTAAAATGTTCACTATTTTTGCTTATATTGCAAAAAATAAAAATCTTAGTGTTGATTAAATACCACCAAAATAAATCTATATTTGTGTGAAACAAACAATACAAAATTTCATTTGGGTACAATGTAGAATGCCAGAGTAATTGTCATTCAAAGTGTGAAAGCACTGAAAGCTGAAAATTGAACCTGGGCAGGAAGAGGATAAAAGTACCTGTCATTGAGGTGGTTAAAGTGGTTGTAAATCTCCGACATGAAATATGAATGAATCATATCCCTCTATAGTGTGTACTTGCTTCAATTAAGAGCACTAAGTATCATTTCTGTCTGCTGCTTTGTTCCTCTGCTATCAGTATGATTCTGAAAAGTTTTCCTGACACCAAGTAAAAAAAAGTGACAGAGGAAAGACCTCCTACAGCTTGACAGCCTCAGCTCTGTTCCTGTGAGCTGCGTGGAGGGTGGTGTGCCTCTTCCCTCCAATCAGCTCTTGGAGATTTCCTCCCTGAGCTCTGCAGTGTGTAATTTCATCTCTCCACCCCCTTTTTTCTAAACTCTCAGACGAACTTCATAAATTCAGCACTTTGAACAGATGTAGAGAAAGGAAGACTGCAGATAGTCAGGTACAACCTATGTAGCAGGATTTGTTTAATCTTTCTATATTACCTGAGTCCATTTACTTCAATGGATATGTTTAATGGTGGACAACCACTTTAGTATTGAACTAGCCTCCCCACAAGGAAAAGGTGTATAGGAATAAATAAAATACTAGAAAGATTAAGGCACATTTAAAAAGCACTACTCCCTGTTAACTGCTAGGTACCACCAAATATATTAGATTATTGTGAGTAACATCTGTTCTCTCTGTGTTAGCAACACACATTCCAACAAACCTGTATGATGTTATTCTTTATTTTTGCAATTTCAAAACTGCACAAACAGTGCTCTTATATTAACCATTCTGCTCAAGCTCATTCTCATCTTAATGCTACACTAACAACTTATGAAGATTTTTTTCTCTTGTGTGTTGCTATGCAACGTAAAAAGGGAAAAAAAAAAAAGCTTTACCAAATTGAAAGGTGAACTTTGGCTTTGGGTTTTACCAGTTTGTTATGTAAAAATCCCAGTTATGTAATATCCTTGGACTCAGAATGCATTATATCTTAGGCTAAATATTTAAGGATATGCTATATTTTAATGCTGTGCTGAGATTTTTTTTAGCTTTTCTATTTTTTCACGTTGTTCTTTCTGCAAGTCAAACATAGCCTGTTCACAGTGTGATGAATGGTCAAACAGATCAGATTTGGCCAGTTGCCCAGCCTTCCCAATTTACTTTTTTGTTATTAACCTTCCTGGCAGTATGATTATTTCAGATTTTTGGTGCTGAAAGCGGTACCATTATTTTGCATGGAAATTTGGCGTTTTATGTTGTAGGCCTGTAATTTTTAGGAATAACTCACTGAAATCTGTCCGAACAAGAGTCTAGTAAACATCCTGGGTATGTTAAAATTTGAACGCAAAATCATAAATTATAATTTAATAAATAATCATAAAAATTAATAATATAATAATAACAAATTTAATTCAATAATATAATCAAACCAAAAACACTGAAATTTGAAATATAGCGCCAAGTTCGCACATTACTGATCTTAGTCGCAAAATCTTTTTCAGTGTCTGATGACGAATTTCCCCACGAATCATTATCACTCAATTCTGCAAGTGGTTCTAATTTACTATCGCTGTTCTCTAGCTGGTCTAAAACCGCTTTTGACCTAAAGGGATGCTTTTTGGACGCCATGGACGTTTCTCAGTTTCCAGGCAGAAAGAACAGTAAAAATGCAGGCAGGGCACAGGACAAAGCACTCGGGACAAAATGTATGTGAAATGGTTTGAGACAGTAATGTTTTACTTTGTGATTTTAGTGTATTTAGTGAATGTCACTTTTTGTCATTTTCAAATTTCCCACCAGTTCCGTCCCCCGTACATCCTGACGTCGCAGGGGACAGGACCCAGAAGACAGATGCCGGCATCCGCCGGATTACATTGCCGAGGACACTGTAGGGGGGATATCTCGGGAGTGCAGGACAAGGTAAGTGATCGAGGGATCCAGGAGCAGTGCCGCATGGTAATCCCGAGTGTAGCTCAGGGTTACCGCTTGTGGTGCTGAAACGTTCCCCCGAGCTACACTCAGGAATACTGCCAGGGAGGTTAAGTAACAAGAGTTGGCATTTACTTTTTACTCATTCACTAGGGTGGGGGGGGGGGGTGAGTTAACCAGATATATCAACTTTGATAAGTCTCCCCTACCAACCTCCACATCCTTTTTTTGGGGCTGTAATAGGGTTGCCACCTCATCCCTTTAAAACTGAACATTAAGTACACAGGTTCTGTGGCTGATTAAGCTGGTAATTAAACTCACGTGATGCCTTATCTGGCAAACCTGGGCTGTAAGGATGAGGGACAAGGTGCCTTGAACGGGACAGGGTGGCAAATATTGAAGTCTGGAGGCACCCTATAAAAAAGGGTTCCCAGATATGTGCCACTCCCCCCGCCGCCCCAATCCATGGCATCTTGCCTCAATATTGATGGGGAAATGGGTTTCAGCCCCATATCTAACAAGAAAACAGGAGCATCTGCTTAGCATGACAGTATACAGTAATTGAAAGAAAAAAATAGCACACTTACAGTTATAATTCTTGAAAATCAGCATGGATGGTAAATGTGCATTGCTGGTTTGTGGATTTACTTTCATCTCCATATCATCCCCCAAAACAGATATGGGGGTTTTCAAGGGGTGGGGTTATCAGAATCTGGAAGCTCCTTATAAAAAGGGGCCCCCAGATCAATCTACCACAGAGGTCTTCACATCCCTTTTGGGGGAAAAGATCTATGGATGAGGCCCTTGCCCCCATCAACATAGGGAGAAGGCATCTTGCAAGGGCTTCAGCCCACTCCTTGCAAGATACCTTCCTAATGTTGGGAGTATGTGGTTTGATATGGTCCAGCAAGAGAATGGCTGCAAGCTTTTTGTCCCCAACTATCCTAGTCAACCAGTCTGCATGTCTAGACGGCCTAGATGAGGCTCTGTTATGGCTTTGTTGTGGGACTCAATAAGGCTTTATTTGTTTTTCTTTAAAGGATGGCATACATTTTTCTGAAACATTTTTGTGAATGACAAATTAAAGCCGCTACCACAATGGCCCACCACCATGTTGATTCTGCCCTGCAGGTCCATTTCAATGGAAAGCTGCTCAGTGATGCTCTATTGTAATTAAAGATGCTGGTGATTCTTATTTGATCAATGACATCACCTAAGATCTGGTGATGTCATTGATGTTTTTGTTTACCTACAGAAGCAGGCTAAAGATCTATCATTTACCAGTAATTGTTTTGTTTATACTTATTAAAGTATTGTGCTGCAAGAACCCAGAATTTGTGGAATCAATTTTTTAATATCAGTACCATATATATGCACATTTTTTTAAGCATTCAGTGTTGCGTGTTCGAAAGGATAGTGTTAAGCCAGCCATTGATGGATCTAATCTCCCTGCTTAACTGGCTGAAATTCAATACATCTATGGTCAGGCTGGATGTACTGAAGTCGATCTATTGATTAACTTCAGTACAACCAGCCTGTTGAATTTTTTACATGTGATCACTCCCAGAGGCTATACCTGCTATCAGTGTTCATTGTGTTCTGGTGGCAGGAAAGACTCCCCACCATCAGAACCCAATATTGCTGTGAAAGATTCCCCCATCAACACAGTCAGTGTTGAACAATTTTCCGTTCACCTGTGGTGGTGTTAATAAAGAAAATTGTGTAATCTATGGCTTGCCTTAGAGCCATTATTTTTCATGTATAATTTCTCTATTGTGCATAAAAATGCCATCAAGAATGTTTTTTTCCCTCTTTGGAGAGTGACCTTGGATAATTGTGGGTTTAAGAGCACCTGCTTCTGTATTCATGCACCCCCATGGCAATGCCTAGCTGCCTATGCCCTTTTTTTAACAAAAGCTTCTACATTGGGCTTTAAAAATGTAAGAAAATATAAAAATAAGATTTGGCTCCCATAGACTTCAAAAGGGTTTGATGCTCTGTTTGACTTTAACTGATTCTTCAAGGGGTTGGTGAACCCACTGCAAGCTGAATTTTACCCAGTCTGCTCATCAATCCCTATTCTATGACATACATGTATCCAAATCTGATGCAAAATTATGCAGATGTATAATATGTTAGCATAGCTGTTTGCCATCCACCCTATAGCGGAAATACTGCTACAGGGCGGAAGGAGCACGCTAAATCACACAGTATACAGTAGTATATATATATATATATATATATATACTGTATATATATATATATATATATACGTGATTTTGCAGTTCCGGGTAAGGGGCGCGCATAAGCCATGCCACAATTCACTGCCTCGGCTGTCAGTCACCGTGTTCCGGCTGGTGATTACTTGCCGGCACATGATGATCAACGAGTATTACCGACGGGGGGGGAGAGAACGGTATGTAAACAATACAGTTTTCTTCCCTGTCCGCTCCTGCACACTGCTTTGTATGGCTCTGCATAGCACTGTGCTTACAGTGAAGCACACACAGCACATTGTGAAACTGCACACAGTTAACCCTTTGATTGCCCCAGATGTTAACCCCTTCCTGCCCAGTACCATTAGTACAGTGTCAGTGCTTTTTATTAGCACTGATCACTGTATTGGTGTCACTGGGGATGTCAGTGACACCAAGTCAGTTCCCCCCAGTGTCAGAATGCCCACTGTCCTGCTATAAGTCACTGATCGCCGCCATTACTAATAACAAACCAAAAAATTCCAGTATATACAGTATCTCATAGAAGTGAGTACACCCCTCACAGTTTTGTTAATATTTTATTATGTGACAACACTGAAGAAATTACACTTTGCTACCATGTAAAGTAGTGAGAGTACAGCTTGTATAACAGTGTAAATTTTATGTCCCCTCAAAATAACTCAACACACAGCCATTAATGTCTAAACCGCTGGCAACAAAAGTGAGTACACCCCTAAGTGAAAATGTCCAAATTGGGCCCAAGTAGCCATTTTCCCTCCCCGGTGTCATGTGACTTGTTAGTGTTACAATTGATTTTGAATTAGCAAATTAATTTCCCATTAAGCCTTTGTTGGATCACTTTGCAGTATAGTCCAATCATTCCACCTTAAACTGTCCTTATCATATTTCCAGATTTCCATGCTGTAGGTATGAATGCTGCCCTTCCTCTGATACATTAGCCTTTCAACTCATTTCCCCACCCACATTTTTCCAACTGTGCCCGCTTTCGTCCAATGAATCATGGTCTTCCTCTCGTCTCCTTTCATTTAGGTTCTCAGCGCAATCCTAGGCCATCCATGCTTCTAGCAACAGAGGTGGCAGGTAGGGTTTGCCAACACACAAACGGTAAGGACGTTCAGAGGGCTATTAGCCCACCACACCCCACAACTCACTGTGCTCTCACAGTGCATTGTCATTGGTCAAAGCAATGCACCTGGCCACAGAAAAAATGGTCCTTGCACACAATCTGCTAGCAGTACACCACCTGTAGATTTCACCAGGCAAATTTCGCTACCCCAGTTGCTGAACTGGCAAAAAAAAATACTGTCCCACCCATCCACATGCTCAGCATCTAAATGCTAACTTGGCCAAATTGCTAGTGTTACAACTGCTGCCTGTCCGTCTGTTGGACTCTGCCCCTTCTGTGAATTTGCGGATTGTGCTGTACCACAGTGGCAGGTTCCAAAAATAAATTTATTTTCACGTAAGTCTATTCCAGCTCTGTACCATCATATGGAAGGCAATATTTTGGCCTTGTTGGATAGGACAAGGTCCACATTACTGCTGACACATGGTCCAGCAGGCATAGTCAGAGACATTACATTTCCTTCACGGCACACTGGGTAACTCTGCTGGCTGTTGGGAAGGCTGCAGGACAGAGTTGAGTGCTGGAACTTGTTCCACCACCACAACTACAAAAATCTGGTGGTGATTCTGCTGCATCTGTTTGCTCCATACCCTCCTTTTCCTCTTCCTCTATGGCCTCTTCTGCTAAATTGTCCTCTGAACCAGCAGTGCACCCTAAGTGCAGGGAGATATGCAAGCAGTCAGGCTAAAAGATTCCATGTGGTGCTTCAGCTGGTCTGTCTAGGGGATAGGAGCCACACCAGTGCATAGATTCTCTCAGCTTCTGTCAGCTCTACAGGGGCAGACTCAGAGGTGGTTGACGCCGCAGCAGCTTGAGCCACAAATGGTTGTATGCGACAATGGCACCAACCTTCTCCCCGCCCTCTGACAGGGTCACTTGACAGGGTCACTTGACACATGTTCCATGCTTGGCACATGTCCTGAATTTGGTGGTGCAGCATTTCTTGAACAGGTATCCAGGCTTACAAGATCTTCTGAGGCAGGCCATAAAAGTCTGGCCATTTCCGGTGGTCATACACAACCAGTGTTAGGCTGGCTGACATAAAAACGGGAATTCAACCTGTCCACCAACTGCCTCATTTGTGACATGCCCACCAGGTCAAACTCAAAATTGGCAATGCTGCAAAGGCTGCACACACAGCAGAGGGCCATCAATGAGTACCTGTGTGAGTATGGCACATAGACAGCCTCAGAGAATGCAAACTCTTTTTTGTCACCCTTTGAGGAGGCCACAAGGATGGTGAGCCATGACAATGCATGCATCAGTGACACTATCCCTCTAGTTCTCCTGCTTGAGCACATGCTGAGTGGAATCATTGACAGGGCACTTGAGGCAGAACAGCAGGAGGAAGAAGGACTTCCTTTACCTCATGGCCCCCCTTTATACAGATACCATTCCGGTGGGGCCTCAGAACAGACAGGAGGAGGATTGTGGCAGCCAGTAGAGGATAATATACATCAGTTTTCAATGGATGGTTTTCAGTCCCCAGAAACCCAGCCTGGAGTAGTATGTGGCTGGAAGCAGGTAGTTGCTGACAGTGTCATCCTCAGTGATCCAGAGGACTCAAAATCTCATGCCTCCTTAAATTTACGCTGCATGGGCTCCCTGA